ACTAGTAGCTCCTGGCCATACTGCTAGTAACAAGAAGCTACTAGTAAGTGGCGTCGCTACTAGGAGCAAGGACGCTACTAGTAGCTCCTGGCCATACTCCTAGTCTCAAGAAGATACTAGTAAAGGGCGTCGCTACTAGGAGCATGGACACTACAAGTAGGTCCTGGCCTTACTACTAGTAACAAGAAGCTATTAGCGACAAAGGGCATCGCTACTAGGAGCAAGGACGCTACTATTAGCTCCTGACCCTACTACTAGTAACAAGAAGCTACTATAGTAACAAAGGGCGTCGCTACTAGGAGCAAGGACGCTACTAGTAGCTCCTAGCCTTACTACTAGTACTAGTAACACAGGACATCGCTACTAGGAGCAAGAACGCGACTAGAAGCTCTTGGCCTTACTACTAGTAGCAAGAAGCTACTAGTAACAGAGTAGGAGAAAGGACACTATTAGTAGCTGCTGGCCATACTACTAGTAACAAGAAGCTACTAGTAGCAAAGGGCATCGCTAGTAGGAGCAAAGACGCTACTAGTAGCTCCTGGCCTTACTACTAGTAACAAGAAACTACTATAGTAACAAAGGGCATCGCTACTAGGAGCAAGGACACTACTAGTAGCCTGGCCTTACTACTGGTAACAAGAAGCTACTATAGCAACAAAGGGCATCGCTGCTAGGAGCAAGGTTGCTACTAGGAGCTCCTGACCTTACTACTAGTAACAACAAGCTACTGGTAACAGAGGGCATCGCTACTAGGAGCAAGGACGCTACTAGTAGATCCTGGCCTTACTACTAGTAACAAGAAGCTACCGGTAGCCAAGGGCATTGCTACTAGGAGCAAGGACGCTACTAGTAGTTCCTGGCCTTACTACTATTGACAAGAAGCTACTAGTAACAAAGGGCATTCGCTACTACGAGCAAAGACGCTACTAGTAGCTCCTGGCCTTACTACTAGTAACAAGAAGCTACTATAGTAACAAAGGGCATCGCTACTGGGAGCAAGGACGCTACTAGTAGATCCTGGCCTTACTACTAGTAACAAGAAGCTATTGGTAACAAAGGGCATCGCTACTGGGAGCAAGGACGCTACTAGTAGATCCTGGCCTTGCTATTAGGAACGAGAAGCTACTAGTCAAAGGGCATCGCTACTAGGAGCAAGGACGCTACCAGTAGCTGCTGGCCTTACTGCTAGTAACAAGATGCTACTAGTAAAGGGCGTTGCTACTAGGAGCAAGGAGGCTACTAGTAGCTCCTGGCCTTACTGCTAGTAACAAGAAGCTACTAGTACAGGGCATCGCTACTAGGAGCAAGGGCGCTACTTGTAGCTCCTGGCCAAACTGCTAGTAACAAGAAGCTACTAGTAAAAGGAGTCGCTACTAGGAGCAAGGACGCTACTAGTAGCGCCTGGCCTTACTACTGGTAACAAGAAGCTACTATAGCAACAAAGGGCATCGCTGCTAGGAGCAAGGTTGCTACTAGGAGCTCCTGACCTTACTACTAGTAACAAGAAGCTACTGGTAACAGAGGGCATCGCTACTAGGAGCAAGGACGCTAC